GGTTGGTTTTTTTTTTCTAATGTTATTTAGCAAAATAGTCCCCTTGCCTCTTAATTTTTGATTACTGACTCATTGTTCAGTGAACAACCGGTACAAGTCAGTTTTGGGGGGAAAAAAATCATGGAAACATCATGCAGTGGTATTTATAAACCATTGTGTCATCTGTAGGAAATGAGAGCAAGATGAAAAGTTGGTTTTCAGAGCCTTTAAGTGAGAGTAACAATCTAAGATTCTGGGTAACCAATTTAACTTTTTTTAATGTACTATTTTGTGTGACTGCTGCATGGTCATTTGTATATCTGATTTGAACTGTCTGTATTCCTCACATCAGGTATATTTTTGAAGAGACAATAGGCATTTTAAAACCACACTTTTATCTGAATTTTTGTGTTTGTGTACTTCCAGAGTTGCTAGTTACTCATCCTTGTTTTCTAGTTAGTGAGGCATTTGAATAGATTCTGAAAGGTTGGCAGGGGACCCATTAAACCCTAAGAAATTTTAAGCAATGAGATTAAAAATCAAAACCGCTCAGGCATAAAAATGTAATGCATTTGACTTTATTTACAATACCAGTAACTGATATTATATTCTTTGACTCAGGAGTAAATTAGTTGGCTCCCAACCTCTCCAATGTAGTTTACTACAGTGTATATTTTAAAGCTATTTTTACATGCACGTTAAAAGCTCCCAGTTTTCCCTGGCTGGCTGATAGGCAGTGGGAGAAATCCTTCCTTGCAGCCATGGGTGAGATGAAATACAGCAGTGCTAATCTCTAGCACATGTGAAAAATGGGGGTAGTGGACTCGGAGAACAAAAAGTCCAGATACCAGCAGTTAGCTGACATGTCAGCAGTTGCTAAAGTGGAAAATGAATGATAATTGTTGATGCAAACCTTCAGAGTGTCTAAAGGTCACAGCAAAGGGTTAATCATAGCCATGTGTAGTGCCTTCTGGAATTGTGACATAGCAGAGCTTGTATTTATGACTGAAGGCCAGACATACCACTTTGTTTCAAAGACCCTTTTTGGCTAGCTGTTTACAGAATATGATGAGATTTTTAAGAACAAAGCAAGGTTGCTCTAATGGCTGTGATAAGTCAGGAATGTGACAGGGTGCACAATATGTAGGGGCTGAAGGGGTTTAGCCCATCTTCACCAACTGAGAAGCCCATGCTATTATTAGTAACATACTGAGTCACAGAAGCAAGAATGCCAAACTGCTTGGACTGTGTCCCTGCTGCACATGAGGGAGCTAACAATAGAGGCTCAGCCTAATGCATTAGGCAAAAGGCATTTTTCCCCGGCATTTCTCTACACTTCTTTTTGTTTTTTGTTTTAAGAAATTAGTTGAATCAAATATCAACTCCAGAACTGAGAGAGTCTGGCTTGCTTAATTTTTTCTGTTGTTCCTGATGGGGGTGGGGGTGTGTGTGTATATTCGCAAAACACTTTAAAATATTTGCCGTAAATACAATCTATCACGAGCTGTATGTTCTCATTCTCCAAGATGTATCATCCATCTGTCACTTTGTCAGAAGGGTGTCTGCACAGTGATTCTATATATTCACTTTTTCTTCTCCTGAAGTAAAGACTTTAGGAAGGAATTCCCTTAGGCTGGCCTGAGTTGCAGTCCAGTTTCAATTAGGCCTCAGTTGGAGCATTGTGTCCAGTACTGGGCATCACATTTCAAGAAAGATTTGGAGAAGGTCCAGAGAAGAGCAACAAGAAGGATTAAAGGTCTAGAGAACATGAGCTATGAGGGAAGACTAAAAGAATTGGGATTATTTAGTTTAGAAAAGAGAAGACTGAGAAGGGTCATAATAGTGGTTTTCAAGTACCTGAAAGAGTGTCTCCTTGGCCTCTGAGGATAGGACAAGAAGCAATGGGTTTAAACTGCAGCACTGGAGCTTAAACTGCAGCTAAACTGGAGGTTTAGGTTGGACATTAAGAAAAAACTTCCTAATTGTCAGGGTGGTTAAACACTGGAATAAATTGCCTAGGGAGATTGTAGAATCTCCATCACTGGAGGTATTTAGGAGCAGGTTGGTTAGACATCTATCAGGGATGGAAGGTGCTTGGGCCTGCCATGAGGGCAGGAGACTAAACTCGATGACCTTTCGAGACCCCTTCCAGTTCTAGTGTTCTGTGATTCAGATGTGCAAAGCTGGAAGTGAGTGTGAGTGAATCTGAGTTTTGAACTCAGATGATCCATTGACTTCCCCTTTCAGCTTGTACAAATTGCTCAACTTCTAAAACTTTTCCCCCCCTTTCTTTAAAATGGTGAGACAGTGTACCTGGCCAAAACGAGTTTTGTACGTAGTTAGTTAATAACTGCAAAGCAATATGAATAAAGCCCTTTCAAGAAGGAAAATATATATAAGTACGTTGTTGTCAATCCCAAGTGTTCACAAATCATGGCTCAGTCCCCCTCAGTTGTGAAACTGGCTTAAAATTAGGTATTTTTAAAAGTGCATTTTATATTGGCCTTCTGGTTTTTGAGCCATTGGGTCTCATGTTTTATTATTCTTGCCAGGCATACAATAAAGAATGGAGACCCGTTATACTAAGTGCTGTACAAACACAAAATAACAGACATTTTCTAGAAACATACTACTTTTTCTTATCAGTAAAATCTAAGATTCTGTCCTAATAACATGAGTCCAGAATAACATGAATCCAGAAGCTGGGACTTCAAGAAAACATCAGATACCATGAGAATTGTTATGAAATTAGGAGGCTTGGCTGCTCTGTAAATGCTTTATTATTATTTTTTTTTTTACATCAACTTAATAACCATCCTAAGATCACCGCTCAGTTAGCGCTGGGCAACTGGAAGACTGGAAAAGCATGTCAGGACTAGAATCATAGAATACTAGAACTGGAAGGGACCTCGAGGTCAGCAAGTCCAGTCCCCTGCCCTCACAGCAGGGCCAAACACCTTCTAGATCGGGGTGAGCAATAATTTTCGAAAGGAGGCCACTTCACAAATTTCTGAAGTGGTTGTGGACTGCTCCAGAAGGGGTGGGTCTTTGAGTGAAAGGGCATGGCCAGGAGGCTTCCCTGATTTGGCTTGAGGGCAGGGGAGTGCATGAAGTCTTTGCCATCCACCCCCAGTGCTTAGAGAGAACTATCAGCTGTTTTGAACAGCTGGTGGTTCCCTCTGGTACCACGTTCCCCTGGGAGGTGGAGGAGGAGACTTTGCAAGTTCCCATCCCCAGGTCTCAATTGGCCTGGGGGCAGGGGAGTGGTAGGGTGGCCGTGGGCTGGATCAACCGACTTGGTGGGCCTGATCTGGCCCGCGGAGGCTGTCTTACCACCTCTGGGGTAAGGGATTTGGGTGCAGGAGGGCCCGTGAGGTCTGGGAGGGAGTTTGGGTGAAAGATACAGTTGTGACCTGGGGCATGGGATTGGGGTGCAGGGGTTTGGGTTGTGACCTTGGGCAAGGGGGGTTAGTGATCTGGGGCAGGAAATTGGGGTATGGTCTCAGGAGGGGGGAAGAGGGTTTGGGTTATGTGGGATAGAGATTTTTGCGGAGGGAGGGGTTGGGGTGCAAGAAGCAACCTCTGGCCGGGAGACTGACCTGTGAGACTCCCAGCCAGCAGCCGAGCTCATTTCTCAGGCAGGAGCCCGCCACACCCCCACACAGGCGGCAGGGTCATGTGGTGTGTGAATAAGAGCAGGAGGGGAGGGGTGCTGGTGCTTCCTGCGCTGTTTGAAAAACAAACAGGCAGCTTCTGGCCAATGGGATTGTGCTGGGGGCGGGAGCAGCCATGAGGCACCACTCCTCCCTGCTCACAGTTTGTGGAGAACAAATGGCCCAGTAGCTGCTTTTCGCAGAGGCATGCTGGGGTGGGGCAAGCAGGGGAATCTGCCTGAGGCTCCCTGCTGCCTCCATGGGCTGTATTCATTGGCGTGGTGGCCTGGATTCGGCCTGTAGAGGGTGTTTTGCCTAGGCCTGATCTAGATCATCCCGGTGCTGTGTGGAATGGACAGAGGTAGGGGCGTGGGTGTGAATTGACAGGCAACCTTCTTCAAAACATCAGTCTTTTGAGTTTTATGAGCACTAATGGGGGTTTTTATCTTATTAATTTTTAAAGGAAATAATAAAGGCAGTTTGGATATTAAACATATAGAATTTCACTTAATGAACATTTTGACCTTTAGAGGGCAACTAGGTTTAGGAACAGAGCAAGCGTGACCTTTCTGGGTTTTTTTTAAATATTTGACTGACTTTTTTTTTCTAAAAAACTGTTGTCTTATGCCCAATTTGCATAGTCTCATTTGACTATTCCATTGTCTGTGTGCTGTGATTAAAAGCACATTAGAACATCTCTGGGCATGTTTGCTTTCTGGATATTGATGTATGTCTATGATTTGTTAACATTTTATATCCCTCTTCCTATGAAAATAAGAGTGGGTAAACAGAGCTCATCCAAGAAAGTCAGCTCTGCTGCTATTGCCCACTTGTTACATTTCCAGTCACTTCTATGCTTTCTCACGTTTCTGAGGAACTTTCTGAATTTTTGGAGACTTAACTTCTTATCCTCATTCAGAACTATCCTTAAACCTCTCCTTTGCTGTGACGGCTACAAAAATTTACCAACTGTTAAGCTATTGGTATCAGACCACTGTCTGTCGAATGGCCGATATTATCTTATTATTTCCTTGCTTGTTGGTATCCCTCTGTATTTATATTTAGATGGTAAGCTCTTCAGGACTTTTTAATCTGTGTGTAAAGTACCTGGCACAATGGAGTTTTGGTGCACGACTAGGTCTCCTAGGCACTAAAAAATACAAATAATCAGCCCTTGTTCTATATTCCTCTTGGGTTCTATTCAGGGTCAGTTTGGTTCAGAGGAAAAGTGATAAGCGAGCGAATATCAATTTTGCAGTTTAAACAGTTCCCCAAGCATTCCTCAGTGCTCCTCACTTTGCAGTCTGTTATCTGTCACTTGGGGGATAACAGTGTTGCCAGTGCCATTCTGCTTGGCAAGGGGAAACGGAAGGTGGTGTCAATGACTAGAGATTAGGGACGGTGGAATTTTGCATTTGTTACGCAGCAGCTGCAGTGGGTCCTTTCAGCACAAGGGGCAGAGTCCAGAAGCACGGAATGAGCTGACAGCGGTGATAGGAAAAGGGACAGAGGGAGAGAGGAGGCACAAGAAGAAAAAGGACAGTGACGAGCAGTCATTCTCTATCAGATCTTGTGGAAAATCTGACCAAGGGAGAGACTTCTCTGGAATAAACTACCTCACCTCCCCCCTCCCTTTTTCCCCATCCCAGCCAAACACTGCTGGAAGGAACGTGAGTCTATATAAATTACTTCAGTTAATCCTTGCTGTCTCTGCTACAAAGAGGACTCATTTGCCATGGTGAAAGAAAAAGGTAATTAACATGTATTGATAAATATATCAGCCATAATCATGTAGGTGTGTACCTTCCAGGATGGAGTTAGTCGTTATCATTTGTTGACTGCTTCCGCCCCCTCCCCCGCTTATTAAAGCCTCATGTCAATAAATGCAATGAGCTTCATTAGGTATTTTTGCATCTGTTTCCCCGACAGTAGGGTCTGTCGTGCACCTTGTGACTTTCTGGCAAGCGCTTGTTTGAAATTGTTACGAACTTGCGTTTTCTAGCTACTGTTTTGTAGTATTTTGTATAATTCTTTGGTAGTCTTTAGCTACCGAATTTGGTTTCATTTTAAAATATAAATGGAGTATGATACAGTGAATCCTGGACGTGAAGGAGCTTGCCCTTGTAGCTTATCTTTTTGTATAGAAATGAGCTGTTTTGTAAAGGGTGTTGTTGTTGTATCTGGACTTTGCAAGCTGTAACTGAAACATAACATTTAATTGTTTTAAACCATCCTTGAAAGCTGTTGCTTAAGTAAAACACAGGCTTGGAGTAGAGGAAATCAGGGAGTTGGCCAGCCAACGAGTTGTTCGTTGCTGTGACATAGGTCTCTGTCTCTTGATGCGTTGATTGTATTTCATATCAATGTAACTCAGATATGACTCATGGTCTGGAGCTAATTTTGAAACTTAATATTTTAATAGGAGGATTCATGGGCAATAACAGAAGGCCGTGAGGCAATCTCTGCATACCACAAAGAATCTATGTAATTTCCCTCTGCTTATAAATCTCTGTAAAAAGTAGAAGCAAAATGCAGGACAATGTAGCACTTTAAAGACTAACAAGATGGTTTATTAGATGATGAGCTTTCGTGGGCCAGACCCACTTCCTCAGATCAAATAGTGGAAGAAAGTAGTCACAACCATATATACCAAAGGATACAATTAAAAAAAAGAACAAATATGAAAAGGACAAATCACATTGCAGAACAGAAGGAGGATGCGGGGGGGTGGGAAGGGGGAGGAAGGAAGGTAAGTGTCTGTGAATTGATGATATTAGAGGTAGGGAGAGTGGGATGTTTGTGAGTTAATGGTATTACAGGTGATAATTGGGGAAACTGTCTTGATAATAGGCTTGACAGAAATGTAGGAAAGAGTTTGTGTTAAATTAAGCCAATTAAGTAGATTTTTCACCTCTAAAACCTAAGTTGAAAACCTGTTAAGGTGACAGACAAAATCAATTGAGTGCCCCGTAGTTGGTCTGTCCATGGATGTGGCCAAACCACTGACCAGTGTGGCAGACTGCTGGCCAGTTGACAGTCACTGCTTAAGCGATGTCCAGCTCTGGAATCACAAAGAGTCAGGGTTTGAGGTATGTTATGTGGGTACTATCAGCGCCTCTCTAGGATTAATAAACCACAGATGATAGTGGTCGAATCCCACTAGGGTCAGCTCAGCCCTTTATCTCTTCCAGCAGAGGTAAATGGAGTTTGCAGAGACTGGAATTAAACTTTAAAAACCACTGTCGGGGCTAAAGATGCCTTGTGCTTTTTTTCACAAAACTTTGTTTTGTTGGCTAAAATTTCCCATTCCACTGATAGCTAGACTCTCTCCAACCGAAACAATTTGCATTTTGTGTGCTGTGTAAATAAAACTTGATGCACCGGCAGGTGCTGTGTAAATCTGTATTAAAGAGAAGTGGAGGGGGAATGTTGCAAGTGTAACAGAAGGAGAATGCAGCACTGGGCAGTGTGTTGAAAACGTCCTATAGCCTACTGGGGGGAAGAAGCGGGGGGGGAGAAATCAAGAGACTTTAGAATTTAAGTCCAATGCAATGTTTTCTAGTCCTGTTAGTGCTATTTTTAAATACCTACCATGCATTCAGTTTTAGATTAAAACAAGGGTTAAATGCTATCTCTTGAGTCCAACAACTGCTATTGGGACCTCAGTGTTGCAGATTGCCTTTAGTATCTTTTCACATTTTTCTGCCTTATTGTTTCAGACTGTTACTTCTACAACACCTTCCCCCATTTCATCCAGGACAACAGGAGTTGCAGTTACTTTGGAGCTACTCAAATGCCACTCTCCAGTAGTGTTTGCTTGTGAGATGATATGCTAGTGTAAGGAAACTGGCATTCTCTCTTCTAGCCTTGACATGAGCGGTCCTCTTTTTATTTAGTGTAAAATTCTGCCCGTCTCTAAGAACACATGGTCGATGGTAAACATGCTGGCGAGGAATTGAGGGGCTGATTTCAGCTAGAAAAATGCAAGCTCAGTTCACTGAAGTGCAAACCAGTTAGTATGGTTTATAACGAATTAGCATGCTTTGTTATATTCATAATGTGGAATGATTTCTGTGTGTATCTATTTAGCTGAGAGATGTGCACAAAAAGATACTGAGTCCAGGCGGCTCTTCTTCAGTCACCCAATGACTGTGGCAGATTATTGACTGATGCTACATTTTCGGCTCTCTGAATATGCATCTGCGTGCTTCCAATTTAAAGGCTCTTATTGATCTAGTGTACTGGACAGATTGTTACACTATTTCATTCAGTGATTTGCCCTCACAGTATTCAGTAACTGAAAAAACAACGTATGCATGATTCTCAGTCAGTACCTGCTTCTCTGCAATGTAAAAACCCGACTGTGGAGTGACACAAGTGTATTCGTTTTGAATGCGGTCAGGTAATACATGTTCTAGCTAGGGGTGGCTGGCCTGTGGCAAGCACCCCAGTCAGAGCAAAGCCAATTCACAACAGCTGAGGATCTGCCCAGAGTTTTGATGTCTTGGCCAACAGATCCTGGGAGTATCCCATTCTCACTGGGGCATGAAGGGTAAGTTCCAAAATATGAAGTGAGACGTTGATAATGGTATTTTAACTTATGATCCCTAGTAGGAGTTGTGGGGCTGACCCAGAGGAATGGACCTGTGACTTGTCATTCCAGAAGAAAACTCTGGCCTGTCCGTGCTTGATTAAAGAGGGAGAAGTGATGGAAGTTTGATGGAGATGTTAATGCTCAAGTGCCCATCTCTGCAGCCTTAATATTTGTGCCTGTTCTGCATTACAACTAGGCACAGGTGTCTGGAAGGCCTAGGATGTCTTAAGACTGAGTGTGGAGATGTCAAGGAGTGCCAGTCCACCAAGCATCACAGAAAATCAATATATTTTAGCAAAAAGTTAAGATTTCTACTTGCATTTTGCCCTTTTTTTGTCTAATAAAAGCTTATAGGGAAACATGCAGCACCCTATTGGTTGAGATGGTTGTGCCAAGTACTGGTATTAAGTTCACGGTCAAGAAACTTGCTCGATGTGTGTCTCCAGTCCTGCATTCTTTCCCATCCAAATCTCTCAGTGCCGTTATTTATGCCAGTACCAAAAGGGAAGCACTTATAGGTGAGGATGCTCTTGAAGACTGCTCAAATCTCAGCTTATACATAGACAGCATCTTTGTGGTCACTAAACAGATTGCCTTGGTAGAGCTTGGTTAAAGTTTCCAGAGCAAGCTGTCCAGTTAGTCCTTTGTAAGTGCATCTCACTATTGACTGGATTTGCCACCTTTGCCACTCTCTCTGAGTCCTGGTCTAGACTAGGAAGTCAAAATAACTCCCCTATTTCAAAATAACAAGCGGAGGGTCCTGTGGCATAGTAGGGGTGCTGTCTACTTTTGTAACCCTGTGTTTCTCCCTGGATGTACACACCAGATGTGTAGTAGGCCTAGACACCTGGGGGAGGGCAGACTTAGGAGATAAGGACCCTGTGCCCAGAGAGAGAGAGAGAGACAAAGGATATAGGCGGGGATGTCACCTGGTGGGGAACTAGGCCTGGGAGTGGGGGCAGTCTCGGCTGGGCTGTGAGGAGGTTTTAGACCGAGGAAGGGTCTAACACTGTCTGCTTTGGTGCCTGTGCTAACATCGAGCCTATGCTATGCTGTGTCCCTGAGAACCAATAAAACCTTCTAGTCTACCAGCTGGCTGAGGGTCACATCTGGCTGCGGATGGGGGTGAAGGGTTGGGGACCCCCTGACATGTCGTGTCACGTCCACACTACCAAGCCCATTATTTTAAAATAAGGGGCTGGTTATTTCAGAATAACTACTCCTGCTTTCCACAAGGAATAATGCTTATTCGATGTAGCCATTTCAAAATAGCAGTAGTGTGGATGCTCCACTGGTGCAATTTGGAAATAACTACTCCCCAGAGTCATTCAAAGTAATTACTCCCCAGTGCTTCCTGGGGCTCTAAGTTGAGGTAGTGTGCCCACATTAAGGAAGCCCGCCTCAGACTGATTTTGAGGCTTCCCTGTAGTGTGGACGCTCTATTTCAAAATAGTTATTTCAAAATAATTTTCTAGTGAAGACATGCCCTGAGTGTAATCTTGAAGATTTACCACTCTGAGTGAGTCTCCAGCTGCAACCCTCTTTTAAAAAAAAAAAAAAAAAAGAAAAAGATAAGGAGATAAGCATTTGGCATCTGTTCCCCATTTTCCTCAAGGAACCTGTGACCAGCAAACGATTTAAAGTAAATCAAAAAACAAAATACTTATTCATCCACAACTCCATAGCAAACAGAGAAAAATAAAACAACAAAGTCCCTATATACCAGGTATTACCCAAAATTTGCAAGGAAAGAATAGGTATGTTCCATTCAGCCATGCTGTCCCTGTTTCTGTCCTGGGAGAGAGTTCCTGCAGCATTCTCTGTGTCCCTCTTAGAAATTTACCCCATCTGCTTCTGCTTGCTTACCCCACTCCTGCCTAAGCAGGGGTTTTATTGACTTCCTGTTACTTGGCCCTGGTCTGGGAAGATTAAGTGTCTCTATGCTGTCTGGAGCCAATCAGGTGGGAATTGCCTAATTAATAACTCTCTCTTTGTTTCTTAAGGAACAGCGATATTCTCCCTGCTTATATCTTATCATTGTTTCAGTTTCCTGTTTGTTTTCCCTATGAGCTTCCTTCAGTTTAATACCATGTAGTCGGGCAGGATAATATCCGTCAAATTAGTTGCATATGGTATTAAGAAAAAAAAATACAAATA